CCCCAAAACCCCAAAACCCCAAAACCCCAATTATGATCATATTTATTGAAATTATTTCCAAACTATGAACAGATCTTCTTTATGTACCGATGAGCGAACATCGAGCAAAAGTAATCATTGTCTGTAAATCCTATATGGTCTTGCTTGTTGACTATAAAATTGTACTCTTCAGTATCGTCAAATACCACATCGACTATAGTTCTGTTTATTATGCAATCTTCTCGCTCAGATTTAGGTATAAAGTCTGAAAAGCTAGAATTATCTAATGACACATCATTGTATTCAGTTCAGTCATTGAAAATATTCTGTGCGATTTCTGCTGAATGTTTAGTGTCCTCCTTGGAGTCCTCAAATATTTGCGCTCTAGCAGAGAAGTATGGGCACAGAGAATCCTCAGGTGATCAAAAGAAATAGACATGATCAAACTTTGAAAATCATTCTTTCTCAGATAGCTTATATAAAAATCAATCTAAAGTTTAAGAAAACTATACCTTCAGGAGCTTTAGCATCTGCAAGTTCAAGTTGGCTAAATGCACCTGTTTTATTGAACATTTTCATAAACCACATTCCTATCTTGACTAGAGATTTTTGGTGAACAGCCCCAAGGTGAGGAGTTGCCATAGAAAAGTATCAACAGAATTTTTCTTGAAATTTCTTGAGCCTTCAGATGACTTCTCTAGCAACTATTCCGCCTAAGGAGTGTCAAATGAAAGAGATTCCTGAAACATCCTCAATTTCGAAATTATTATCAAGATGTTCTGTGATTTCTGCTGTGATATCTTCAGCTGATTTCTGTATTGATTGCCTAGAATTTTTCTTATCCATTGCTAAAATTAGTAGGAAATCATACCTTGAGGAAGTATAAACTCAACGTTTTCGCAGGCTATTGAGATATGCTTCATGAGCTTAATCATGTTTAAATGAGAAGCATCAAGACCATGAAGAAGGATAAAGATATGATATTGATGTGCAGGACTTTTGCGAGCAGTTGAATCTTTTAAAAACCCACTGGTTTCTATTAACACAGGTATACTATATTTATTAGAAGACTCAATATCTGCAATTTCCCATTTATCCATATCTTTAGCCTCCTCACGAATCATCCTGGCTTGATAAAGCACTCCTTGCATTGGATTCTTCACAACACACCCTATCGATCGTTCAGAATGAACTTTCTCTCCAATAAACTTGTCATATCCTCTCTCTAAATACCCATAATACTTGCTCTTAAGTTTACTGAAATGCTTATCTTTACCTATACCGAAGTCAGCTGCTTAAATCCTCTAGTGCTCAATTTAGTCTTACTAATTTTCTTCACAGCCCGTTCAATTTCCTTCTTTGTTTCTTTAAACCACTTATCAAGCCACTCTTGAACTTTCTTCATTTGTTCTTTGTTATGAAGTGAAGGGGTTTTGAGCATAAAAGACGATTTGTGAGCGGAGAGACTTGAAAATGCGTTCTTCAGTGATGTACTGTTGCGTTTGAAGGTCATGGAAAAGGAGGCAGCGTTTGTAGTGAGGAAGGAATTTGGAGTTGATGGGATGGCTAGAGAATTTTTGGAAGAAGAACGCCTATTTTTGGGCCGAGTCTCTTTTGTTCTTCTGGCTTGTGGAAAGTCTTTGATATTGAGTTTAGGGGTATACTCTTCATGCTATGAAAATTTGAGAGAAGTCGAGATTGATAGCTTTTCAAAGGTTTCTAATATGCTTTCTTAATTTTAGATAATCAATCTCTAAAAATAAGTTGAGTTTATCTCTCACATGGTTAATACTAACTACTTATTCTGAATTGATCAAACATTCTTAACTTTATAACCTTCAATAAAGTTTGTGGAGAGATATAACCTTGCTTGTCTATAAACCTTCACTTTGAAATATATTTTAGGCCTTTGAAGGCATCAGTTTTATAAAATTTAGAATTTTGTAGGATCTTTCTAGTAACTAGCTCATCACATTCTTGAAATAAAAAAGTCTTACATTCTCAGACCCACTTCCACATCAATCTGACCAATCAGTACCCATTCATTCCTCATGATCCTCAACCACCTTTGGCATTACCTTAAAAAACTGCTTCTTCTTATTCCCCTCACTCCCCAATTCCACCCCCTTCTCCTCCTCCTTCCCAAATCCCTCCTCCCCTCTCTCCAAAACCTCTCTCAACCCTCTTCCCTTACTTCTCTTCACCCCTAAACCCATCAACCTCCTATTCCTTCTTACCTTTCCCTGTGCCTACTTCTTCCACCAGTCTCTCCTGCTGCAAGACCTTGGCCATCACCCATTCTCTAGTCGCATGCTCCTTCTCATCGACTAGTCTCTGGGCCAGAGCCCTTGCGGGCTCTGCTCCGGCCCAGGAGACCATGACCATGAGCTCGAGCTTGACTGGGACATGGAAGATGACTTCCTTGTACCAGCAGCCGGGCTTGAGGGGGATGGTGACGGTGCAGGTGGAGCTGAGGTGGGTGGCTTGGGTGATACTGTAGGGGTTAGAGGAGAGCATACTGGCAGGTGGTGGAAATGTATCAATGTGTTGGAGCTTTATATAAATCTTGAAGCACAGTATTTGGAAGCGAAGTTATCACAGGTAGCAGGACACCTTCGTTAATACTGTACTGAGCATTATATGTATCGCAATTAGTGCCAGTGGTAGTAAAGGAAAGATCTTTTGAGATCTCTACAGGATCAAGAAAAGCATACTGAAAGATTTTGATCCTTTCCTATATGTTAAGCTTTTGGTATTCCTTGCTAGATTAAGAACCTTAGGCTTTATAGACTTTTCCTTTTTGTCTTCCTTCAAAAATCCTCTGAGTGAGAATGAAATTTTTCATCTATCTTCTTCATCTGGACTATATCGGCAATCACTCAGAAATTCAAATTTAGCATTAACCAAATGATCTTCAATAGAGGTCTTACGGTACCAGAATGTTCTTAAAGTTTTTCATATAAACAACCACATTCCATTTTTGCCGAATTGACATTATTTTTATTGTTTTAGAAAAATACGAATGGGGTTTTGGGGTTTTGGGGTTTTGGGGTTTTGGGG